TAGTGGAATATGTAGCTCGTTTCCTCAATTGTCAACAGGTGAAGTATGAGCATCAGCGACCGGTGGATTGCTTCAGAAGTTAGAGATTCCAGAGTGGAAATGGGAGCAAATCACTATGGATTTCATTGTTGGGCTCCCACAGACTCAAAGGAAGTTCGATGCAGTTTGGGTGATTGTGGATAGATTGACCAAGTCAGCTCGTTTCATTCCTGTAGTTATTATTTATTCTTCGGAGCAGCTGACTCAGGTTTACATCCACGAGATTGTCGGATTCATGGCGTATCGGTATCTATCATCTATGACCGAGGGACGCATTTCACATCACGGTTATGGAGAGCCGTACAACGTGAGTTGGGTACTCGTGTGAAGTTGAGTACAATATTTCACCCTCAGATGGACGAGCAGTCCGAGCGCACTATTCAGATATTGTAGGATATGCTTTGTGCATGTGTGATTGATTTTAAGGGTGCTTGAGATCAGTTCTTGCCACTTGCGGAGTTTGCTTACAATAACAGTTATCAGTCGAGCATTCTGATGGTGTTATATGAGGCTTTGTATAGTAGACGGTGCCGGTCTCCAGTGGGTTGGTTCGAGCCGAGCGAGGCTAGGCTATTGGGTACAAACTTGGTTCAGGATGCCTTGGAGAAAGTTAAATTGATTCAGGATCGACTTCGTACAGCCCAGTCCAGGAAGAAGAGTTACGCGACACGGAAGGTTCGCGATGTTACATTCATGGTTGGGGAGCGGGTTTTGCTCCGGGTTTTGCCCATGAAGGGTGTTATGAGGTTCGAAAAGAAGGGCAAGTTGAGCCTTAAGTATTTCGGGCCTTTTTAGATTCTTGAGAGGGTTGGAGAGGTGGCTTACGGACTTGTACTGCCACCTAGTCTCTCTGCAGTTCATCTTGTATTCTATGTTTCCATGCTCCGAAAGTATCACGGCGATCCGTCTCATGTGTTAGACTTCAGCTCGGTCTAGTTGGACAAGGATCTATCTTATGTTGAGGAGCTGGTGGCCATTTTGGACAGGCAGGTTCGGAAGTTGCGGTCAAAGAACATCGCTTCAGTGAAGGTTCAATAGAGGGGTCATCCGATTGAGGAGGTGACTTAGGAGACCGAGAATGATATGTGCATAAGTTATCCTCATCTTTTCACCACTTCAGGTATGTGTCTATACTCGTTCGAGGATGAACGTATATTTTAAGAGGGGGAGGATGTAACGACTCAGCCAGTCGTTTTGAGTGTATTAGCCCCGAATCCCTAATTATTGCTTCCTCTACTTTATTTTGGATTTTGTGACTTGCAGGGAAGTTTTGTTTTTGGTTTAGGAGTGAAATGGAACACATAGTCACTGAAATAGAAGTTTAAGTTGTAGGAATCGACCATAGATTGAATTGTGTGAAGACGACTCTGAAATAGAGTTTTGTCAATTCTAATAGCTCCGTAGGGTGATTTTGATCTTAGGAGCATGTACGGATGTTGAATTGGAGGCCCGTAGGTCATTTTAATGCCATTTGGCGAAAGTTGGAAATTTGATGATTTTTGGAAAGTTTGATCGGGAGTGGACTTTTTGATATCGGGGTCGGATTCTGATTTCGGAAGTTAGAATAGGTCCGTAATGTTAATAATGACTTGTGTGCAAAATTTGAGGTCAATCGGACTTGATTTGATAGGTTTCGATATCGGATGTAGAAGTTTGAAACTTTGAAGTTCATTAGGCTTGAATCGATGTGTAATTTATGTTTTTAGCATTATTTGATGTGATTTAAAGGCTTGACTAAGTTCATGTGATGTTTTAGGACTGGTTGGTATATTTGGTTGAGGTCTCGGGGGCTTCGGGTGAGTTTTGGATGGTTAACGGATTATTTTTGGACTTAGAAGATTTTTTGGTGCTGGGCTGTTTTGGTGTAATCGCACCTGCGCAAGGCTGACCGCAAGTGCGAGCTCGCAGAAGTGAGCTAAGGAGCGCAGAAGCGGGATTTGAGGATGTGGCCAGGGATCGTAGGTGCGAGGGAAATGCCGCATCTGCGAGCCCGCAAATACGCTTCAAGGTCCACAGAAGCAGAGAATGAGCTGGGAGGGGGAGTCCGCAAAAGCAGACAATGTTCGTAGTGCGGCGTTGTAGGTGCGATTGTGGGTCCGCAGTGCGAGTTCACTGGGCATAAAATAGGGAAATTACGAGGGTTTGATCTCATTTTTACTTTGGGACTTTGAGAGCTCGGATTCAGGCGATAATTTGAAGGATTTTCGGAGGAAACCATTGGGTAATGATTCTTAACTTATTTTTGGTTAAATTCCACTAATCTATAATTAATTTCTTCATTTAATTAAGGATTTGGGTTGAGAAATTTGGGAAAAAAGTTGGAAAGTTCTTCAACCGAATTTTGGAATTTTGATTGAGATTTTGACATCTGATTTGAGCAATTTTGGTATGGGTGAACTCGTGGTTGAATGGGTGTTCGTATTTCATAAGTTTTAACCAATTCCGAGACTTGGGCCTGGGTAGACTTTTTGGGGTAATTTTTCGATTCTTTGCCAAAGTCGTAGATTTATTATTTAAATTAATTTCTCGTAGTTGTATTCATGATATGTAATTGCTTTTGGCTAGATTTGGGCCATACAAAGTTGAAAAATCGAGGGAAAGGCATCCTTATCGATTGATTGAGCGAGATTTGAGGTAAGTGACTTGTCTAACTTTGTACGGGGGAAATTTCCTTAGGATTTGATACTGTTATAACAATATGTGATATGTGAGCATCGTGTACATGAGGTGACGAGTGCGTACATGGGCTAATTGTGAAAATTTCGTTTCTTACTGAGTTGTCTTCTTTTAAATTCCTTAACTGAGTTGCCTTAGCATATGTAGTGATTATGTTTAGCCTAGTATCACATTTCTACGTGCCTTAACTCTTACTTGCAAATTGTGCAGCATGCTTAGTTGGAATTCCCGCTTTACTTGATTTGAAATAAATCTTTAACTGTAAGATTCTTGCTGTAAACTCGTTGTTCCTTTGGTTAAGTGCTGCATATTTACTTTGGGACTATGAGGCGGTTCTTCGGGAGATCCCCATGTACTGCATATTTACTTTGGGGCTACGAGGCGGTTCCTCAGGAGATCCTCTTGTACTGCATATTTACTTTGGGACTACAAGGAGGTTCCTCGGGAGATCCCCTTGTACTGCATATTTACTTTGGGACTACGAGGCGGTTCCTCGGGAGATCCCCTGTACTGCATACTTATTTTGGGACTACGAGGCGGTACCTCGGGAGATCCCTCCCTGCCGTGCATATTTACCTTTGGGGCTAAGAGGCGATACCTCGAGAGTGCCCCTGTTCTTTACCTCTATTTACTGTGCTAATATTTTCTGAAACTTCTTATTGTTTAAATTCTCAGTCATTTCAAAAATATTATTATATCTTCTGCCTTACTTTTCTTTTAAACCAGTAGGGCCCTGACCGGACCTCGTCACTACTCTATCGAGGTTAGACTTGACACTTACTGGGTACCATTATGGCGTACTCATACTACACTCTGCACATCCTTTTGTGCAGATCCAGGTTCTTCCCACCAGACCAGATACCGGTGAGTTGAACCGAACGTGGAGACTTCAAGGCATATCTGCCAGCGTTCGCAGACCTCGGAGTCCCCCTCTGCGGACGCTGGCAGATAGAGGAGACATCAGATGTTTGTTATTACTTCTAATAAATATTAAAAAATAAATATTTTTTATCATTTTTATATTTAAAATATGTTCATGTTTAAATATGATTAAACAAATCGAGTGACATGAAAAATTTAAATGTATGGATATATTATAAAAATAATAAATAAATAATTAGAAGTTATTTTAATTATAAGTAAAATACCTAGGTAAAAATATATTATATAGTATATAGGAGTAACATACAAGGAGAGGATTTATAATGTCAATGGCATACTAGATTTTTTAAGTAAAAGTATTATAAAATCTGGCCAAGGTGATTTTTGTGATAAAAGAACAAAGTAAAATAATTTTTATGTAACACAAAAAAAAAAGTGACTTTTAGATAATAAACACAAAGTTAGAATGATTTCTATGTAACAAAAAAAAATAACTTTTACGTAATAAATACAAAGTTGAATAATAACCATCAAAATTTACTCTTATGAAACGGTGACTTACATAATGCTTTTGGTTGAAAAGCAAACATCAGCATGATTTTGTACGTAAGATGCCAGCTACCAGTCATGAGAATCATTATGGATTGATAATTTCTGTTCTGAAAAGAAAATTTAAAGAGTATAAAAGCGTTAGCTCATTTGCAAAAACATCCTTTTTATTTGTATATCTAAGATAGTACTAGTAATAATCATTTATGCTTCTATTCCCCACCTCTCTGAAAAGAAAGATTTGAACATATTATCATACTCAAACGGTCAAAACAAATTTCATAGAGATTCAGGTGAATGTACATAGCAATTGCTCATCTTAAATACTTCAATTCATACAGTTCACTAAACGGGCATTTCTCGATTTATGCGTGTCATTTTTGCGCAAAATCTAGATATGTTAATTAACATTAAATTGACGTAATTCGAATGAATATCATGGTAAAAGTCGAATTAATGCTAAAATAAAGAGGCGATAAGTTCCCAATTATTAAAGACTTGTTTTAATGGGAAATACCTAAAAATTTATGTTGAAGGAGAAAAGTATGTTACTCAAGGAGGGACCATATTTTCTAAGGTGTTTCCCATGGTAGAGATTGAAATTGAACTGGCATAAATATTAAAGATCGTACATTTTGATATAAATAGAGGGACCAAACCTGTAAAACTGTTCTTCCGTCTTACTACACCAATATATGTTGGTAGTACAAAATGTACAACATTATAATTAAGTTCTGCTGTTCTGCATTCTGCAAAGACACTTCTCATCCACAAATATAGAGATCTTAATATATATTCTTTTTGGCATTTTTATTAACTTTTCCCTCAAAAGTTATTCTTTGAGCTAATCAACAATCACAAAACAATCCACATTTATACTCAAAAAGCCAAATAGTTTGCTTACAAGAACCACTACATGCCTTCAGGCTTTACCTTATTTATTGTATCAACCAGACCTCAGAGAATTGTGAGCTTTTTTCTACTAATTGGGGCTCTCCCTTTACCGGCAGATGATCTACAGAATTCATAACTACTCCTCTTAATACATGACTCTTCCCTAACTAACACTTAGATTTGCCAGTTCTATCCAAATTTTTCTGGCTCACCCAACATTCCCCCTTGTCCGACTGTTGCTTGAGCATTTTTTGATTCATATTCCTGCTTCTTGATTTAGTGACAACCTACATCCATAGTTTTAGGTTCACGAAATAGAGATAATGAAGAAACTAATTTAGTTGTTCTAAGAAACGGTCGTAGAATAAAAATAGAGTTTTAAGTCTATGTACGGACAATATATATAAAAGCATTTACACAATCAAGTCATTTATAAGGTTATCACATATAAAATCAATCTTACTATAACAGGTTAAATTGCACCGATAATGTAAAAGTTATATATAGACATTGTCAATGTATATAACTTAAATCCATAAAAATATTTTACCATGATTAGCATCAAATCAGCAATCCGAGGATGCTCAGATTTAGTAGTTTATTGCTAATTCAGAATTGTCAAGATAGAATTATTTTTCCAACAGAATCGTCAAGAATCACATAACATTTTAATGGAAATGTGGCCATAAACATTTCTAGACAAACATATAGTAGTTATTTTAAGCGAATAGTATCAAAAGAATCTCTTATACTCACGTCAAAGCCCAAATAATTGCTAAAACAGAATAACTGCGTACCTTCATGCTTTACATATCTCTCTAATGTTGACTTAAGTCAATTTGATATTCATGATCTTGCTTAAGTACTTGACAACCTGCAACAAAAGGCACAATATCACGAAAGACATGAAACAATGAAAACTAATGCACTTGATCTAAGAAGCCACTCATATAATAAAAGGAGAGTTTTATGCCTGTAAAATGTACTAGTATTTATATAATCAGATCATTTAAAAAGTTATTAAAAGTAAATATGTTTTATAAATATTACTAATTGATAACATGATAAAAATAGTAATTAGCACGTTGTCACATGTTAAATTACAATGATAGCGGAAATAATCTCACTGCCAGTGTATATAATTATCAAATCTTGAAAAAATAAAAAATAATTACCATGATACGAATTGGAGAAGCAATCTGTAGACGCTTATTCATGAGCGCTAGATTATACTTTTTTTGAGCCGAGAGTCTACCAGAAATAACTTTACGTCTACGTATACACTATCCTTTCCAGATCCCTTGTGGAATTTCACTAGATTTATTGTTGTTGTTGTAATCAGTGGACGCTTAGTCGTTTATTGCTAATGCAGCATCATCAAGATTCACATATGATTTTAATGACAAATATATGTAAATCTTGAAGGTGTTGCATTTGCAAACGACGACTGTGTATATCAGGAGATGAATGAACAAAAGCTCATGATGCCGAGATCGGAATATCATTCTGACCGGAGACCAAAAAATCACGATTTAAATATCGTACTTGTTGTGTACCAAAGATTCCGCCAAGTTTAATTTTTCAACGAAAAGATTTAAGTAAATGAAGATTCGCAGGAAAAACTAGGAAACCCTAAAAATGAATTGGTAAAAAGAACAATCAAGTAAAGAAAGCAAAAAAGAAGGCAGATCTTGAGGAGGAGCTATATATGAAGATAGGTTAAGGGCTATATATCTTTGTACTGTTCTTCACAGTTATATGCTAAGATTGCAGATTAATAAAAGGGTATTTGACACAATTAACAAGATCACGAAAGTTAAAGCATTGACATGGACAGATCTACCATATACGTTAGAGGCTTGGAAGAACTTAGTAATTTTGGCTCAAACTTTATATTTGTGTTAAGAAATTTACTTAAATAATCTATTCCTAACCCAATAATCGTAAAAAGTTATGAGTTTAAAGACTATAAACTTGAAATTCTGGATCCACGTATGTGTATAGATCAAATGAAAGGCACTGCACACTGTTGGACTCGTGAAATGAAGGAAAATATCCGTACAAATTAAGAAATGATAATTGAAAGGTATCAAAAAATAAAAAAGGAAAGAAAAAGAAAAGATACTCCTAATAATTAATAGAGCCATGGCTGATGAACAGAGGAAGAACTTTGGACTGGCATGGGATACTGTTAGAGATCTAACTTTCCTCATTACTGAGATTGCTGTATGCTTCTACGAGAGAGAGAGAGAGAATTTGACTGTGCTATGGATGTAGGGTTTGGGGTTGGGGTTTCATCCAATTAATTATTAGGATGCTGTAGATTTGTGCTTTTAATTTGTGATCTATGTTATATGATAACATAAAAATTATTATTCTACTCGGTCCACATTAATTAATTTTTTTATAACATAAATCACAAATTTGTTGTACACATTTATTAAATGTATCTTTTATGTTACCAAATCAAATTTGGTGTATACATTTAGTTATAAGTTAATTTGACCCGATAATATAAAAAAGCTATACGCTATCAAAAATTCAGAAGTCACACTCAACTAATAAATAATTAGATTAAGGTTAATAATTTTACTATAAACTATATAGTGATTGAAGAAAAAGAAACATTATTACAAGTCAAGTCGTATCCGCGTATGGTGGTACCGACTTTGTACCATTTTGCTAAGATTCTTTGCTAGTTGCTACGCACAAAATACAAATGTAAGTGGAAACTAATTTTCTTTTTTTAAATATTGGAGTAGTATATGCTTTCAATCTTCATATTCAAAATTTAACTCTTGTACGTACAGAGAATGAAAGCTTCTTCTTAATATCAATATTTTGATCGTAAGAAGGAAATGTGCCAAAAAGACTTGATGCACTGTTATTTACCATTGAGAATGAAAAAGGAAAAAAAGAAAATCTCTTACAAGTTACCACCGAAAAGGAAAAAATTTGAAGGACATTTGGTAGTATTTTTTGAGAAATTAGCAATGATGTATATAATTCCTTATCGTACGTTCCCAAAAATAGAATATAAATAATTTAACAAACCATTTGTCCTTCGCCTTTTCAGATGTCTTAACATGATCAAACCTCTAAGCACATGGTTCCTCGTACTACTACTTCTGTGGTATCATAACTTAGATTCCCTTTTCCTGCTTTCTGAATTAAAAATTGAAGACAATTACTAAACACGATATATAAATACTGGTAGTACTGATTTCACGTTCTGAACCTGCATATAATGAAGGGATACCAGAAAATTTTAAATATTAAATATCTTGATGTTAAAAAAATAAGGGACTAACAACCAGGTTGGTGGAATCGTACACGTAATTTACTGGTAGAATTCGTGGTACATATTGACATAAGAAATACCACATTAGCACCACTACGAGGTAGATTGATCAATATACATTGTTTAGCTTATCAAGAAATCTATATCTATATATGTCACCATCCGAAATTTCTCAATGACGGAATCGTGATGGCGCCTAACATTTTACTTGTTAGGCAAGCCAACGTTAGAAAATCATTAAACCAATTCCTTATTCCCATTCAATAATTAACAATAATTAGCTAAGATGAAATATAATAAGTGCAGAATATCATAAAACTGTATTAATTACTACCACCCGAATCTGGAGTCACAATTCAAGAGCATTCTAGAATTACTACAAGTAATAGTCTAAAAGAAATACAACTGTCTGAATGAAAGAAACAGTAGAACAAAAAAGATAGACGGGGACTTCAAGGTCTGTGAACGCCGACAGATCTAACTTGAGTCTCCAGACAACGGACAAATAGCAAAATCTCGACCAACCCGAGCCGGTATCAAAATCTGCATAGAAAGTGCATAGTGCAGTATCAATACAACCGACCCCATGTACTGGTAAGTGTCGAGCCTAACCTCGACGAAGTAGTGACGAGGCTAAGGTAAGGCACCTACAAATCAACCTGCATAATTTAACAGTGTATATACAAATAACATAAATGAAGAACTAAACAGGAAATGTCGAGAGGGAAACATACTGAGGGGAATACAAGATGAGGGGAATACAAGATAAAGAACTACAACAGAATGATCACTGGAGCAGTCAATATAACATGAATCAACAGGAATAGTGAATACAGTAAAGGAAAAATGCACGGCATCACCCTTCTTGCTTTTACTCTCAATCTCACCATAAAATTAATAGAAGCGGCACGACATCACCCATCGTGCATTAACTCTCATATCATGGTACGGCCTCACCCTTCGTGCTTTTACACTCACAATATGGCACGACATCACCCTTCGTGCATTAACACTCACAATATGGCACGGCATCACCCTTCGTGCATTAACACTCACAATATGGCACGACATCACCCTTCGTGCATTAACACTCACAATATGGCACGGCATCACCCTTAGTGCATTAACACTCACAATATGGCACGACATCACCTTTCGTGCATTAACACTCACAATATGGCACGACATCACCCTTCGTGCATTAACACTCTCCCTTACCATAATGCAATGCATAAATAACAACAGGGAGATAGAATAACAAGTACAACCCTTACTTCAACATTTGGTTCCACAATATAAATCTCAACTTTTAAATGATTACTCTCTTACCAACAGAAAATCCGTAACCATGATAATGACGATCGATTTAACAATACTAGTATAAACATGTAGTAATTAGGCATAGAAAAGAGACTATATAAGAAAACAGAAGAAACATGGAATACAGTTAAATTGGCGGCGGATAAGTACTCATCACCTCACATATACGTCGCTCACATGAATTTCACTTAGCAAAAAATCTAAGGTTCCTAATTCCCTCAAGTCAGGGTTAGACACAACACTTACCTCGCTCCGAAGGCCACTTAATTCTCAATCACAGCTTTTCCTTTGGAATTCACCTCCAAATCACTCGTATCTATTCAAAAATGACTCAATAATATTAAATATTGCTAAAGAAATCAATTATATTGCATAAATTAAATTTTCCAAATTTTCCTCCAAAAAGTCAAAAAATCGACCCCGGGCCCGCTTGGTCAAAATTCGAGGTTCGGACCAAAATCTATTTACCCATTCACCCTCGAGCCCGAATATGTAATTAGTTTTGGAATCCGACCTAAAATTGAGGTCTAAATTCCTAAATTTCCGAAATCCCTAGTTTTTTACTCTAACCGCTAATTCTACCATGAAAACTCTAGATTTTAGGTTGATAATTCAAGAAATGTAATGGGTAATTGAAAGAAAATGGTTTAGAATCACTTACCAACACTTTGGGGAAGAAATGGCTCTTGAAAAATTGCCTCACACCGCTTGTTTTTTTGAGAAAAATGAATTTTTGGCTAAATCCCGTGTTTGGATTCTGGTAAGTGATGGGCGATAGTGTTCATCGCGTTCGCGAGAGCACTGTCGCGTTCGTGAAGAGTATAGACTGCCAAGCCTTCGCATTCGCAAGACCATGTTCGCGTTCGCGTAGGCTACCCCCTGGCCTTCGCATTCGCGAGACATTGCTCGCGTTCGCGATAAAGGAACGATCAGCTGCCCAGTTTACTCTTCGCGTTCGCGAAAGTACATCCGCGAACGCGAAGAAGGATCTGCCAGAACACCTGCTGCAGCAAAATACTAGATTTTTAAAGTTCAAAACATCTTGTGGCCTACCCGAAACTCACCCGAGCCATCGGGGCTCCAAACCAAACATGCACACAAGTCTAAAAACATTATACGAACTTGCTCGCGCGATCAAATCGCCAAAATAACACCTAGAACTACGAATTTAGCACTAAATTAAATGAAATTCTCAAGAACACTTTAAAATTTCTATCTTCTCAACTGGACGCCCGAATCACATCACATCAACTCCATTTCTCACCAAATTTCACAAACAAGTCTTAAATATCATAATGAACTTGTACCGGGCTCCGGAACCAAAATACGGACTCGGTACTAATAATGTCAAACACCAATCAATTCTTTAAAATAAATAATTTCGAAACTTTTAATTTTTATCAAAAATTCATAACTCAAGCTAGGGACCTTCGAATTCGATTCCGGACATACGCCCAGGTCCCATAATTCGATACGGACCCACCGGGACTGTCAAAATACGGATCCGAGCCCGTTTACCAAAAATATTGACTGAAGTCAAATAAAATCAACGTTTTAAGGCATAAATTCTTATTTTCATCAATTTTCAACATAAAAGCTTTCCGAAAACCTGCCTGGACTGTGCACGCAAATCGAGGAGGGTAAAATGAGATTTTAAAGGCGTAAGAGCGCAGATTCGAGTTCTAAAACATAAGATGACCTTTTGGGTCATCACAATATATATATATTAAAGGAATAATATTATCTTATATAATTGATATTATGGCNCAATAAGCAAGCTATAACAAGTCGAAATGAACGCGGAAATATATATAACAGCTTCAAATATATGCCACTACTACCCAGAATCCGGAGTCACAATTCACTAACATTCTAAGATTTTACTACAAGTATTTCTCCGAAAGAAATGCAACTGTTTGCGAAAATAAGGAAACAATGAAGTATGGTGCATAGAAGGGGACGCCAGGGCCTCCGGACGCCAACAGGTCTACCTTGGGTCTCCTAGCAAGTGAAATCCTACAGCCAACCTCTCGATCAGCTCGGACCAGCTCCAAAATCTGCACAAAAAGTGCAGAGTGCAGTATCAGTACAACCGATCCCACGTACTGGTAAGTGCCGAGCCTAACCTCGACGAAGGAGTGACGAGGCTACGGCGGGCACTCAAAATATAGCATGCGTACAGTATAAACAATAAAAACAGAAAGAGGAAGATAGGATAGAGTAAAGCACTAACTAGTAAGAAATAACTACAATTCTCGAAGTAATTCAACAACGCTCAGATACTACCAATCCTTAAGTGTAAACAAGAATACCGTACAACTAACACAGTGGGGAAAAAAACATAAACACATAAGTTGTTTCTACGCCCAACCCGATCCCACCGTACATATCACATTCCTCCCTTGTTTCCTCATAAATGCATAAACAGCATAATATAAATAAAAGTGTTGCAGCGTGCAACCCGATCTCACCATATCACAATAATCACAATCACAGTTCACCCTTATTTTACCAAACATTCCACCCTTATTACACCTGTTGCGGCGTGCAACCCGATCCCATCGTACAATATCAATTCACCCTTATTCCTCCTCAATATATCACCCTTATTCTAGCTGTTACGGCGCGCAACCCGATCCCACCATATCAATATCAATTACTCA